ATAGGGGCCAGATTAGTGTGCAGCGGTGCTGTGTGGCTCATCGCTGCGGTGGTGGAGCGCTTTTGTCCCCGGTGGTAATCCGCTTGCTCTCAATGCCCCAAACCCTGGTATACGGTTTCAAAACAATGCTGGATTATCACCACTTGTGAGAGTGAAAAATGCCGGTAATGCCCAGCAGCCTGGTCTTTTGTTCGGAGTACGGTCTTTTGTTACAGGGCCGTGTTTCCTTTGTCCGAGTTCAGAGACCCCGGCCACACATATAAACCATACGGCTCCGATTTCGGAGTCCCTGGCTGGTAGTGGTTAATACTCCCAACATGCCCAAAGGGCATTGACATGGGTATGTTGTGCCCAGGCTAGGGTTGACAGGCTGTATCTGGGTAGTTATTTGAAAAAAGGTAGTGTTGTGAATGATGTCCCTGTTGCTTTTGACATGTAGGACTAAACGTACCGATAATGTATAGGATGACAAGTATGGAAGTATAAATTTGCATGTGAAATAATGCTTAAACTTTGTGCTACTTGTACATGTAGTGAGTGGTTTACTTTTTAAGTACATAAATGTTGATAGTGCCATGTAACACTCTTCCTCATCATTTTGTAAACAAGGTGTAAACTGTTACAATTGTCATAGCAAAATTAATTGCTCTACACCACACAAGCTGTCTTGACAGAGGAATGGTTAACTCTCTGGTACAGTATTTCAGTTGCAGAGAGTGTAGAGGAAACCAGTCTTGGCACAGATCCAAAGGGATTTTCTAAAAACCTAATGTGAAGTGTCCCCTAATGAAGGTTTATTTTTTAACTTTTTTTTAACAATCTCAATTTTTTTGTTTAAGCTCCAACTGCTCAGAGAGCTCTGAAGAGTTCCTTCATTGTTAGCTTTTTGACATAAATTTGTGTGATTCAGCAAACAGGACTTTGACTTCAGTTTTCTGATGTTACATACAATATTGGCAAAAAAAGTGTGCAGAACATTCCACAAAAGAAAGCAAGTGCAATAATTTTTGGAAAACACAAAGTTGAGGATGTGAAAGGAGGTAAAAATTATTCAAAATTATCTTTTCGCTTAAAAAAAAAAAAGAATAGGGATTTACATGTATTGATGTGTTTTGAAAGAGCACCACATTAGGGAACCCTCCATCTAATTTATTGCCTACTTTCCAGGCATTATTTTTGTTTCATACAAAATTACCATTTTTAAAGAGGATTTCTTACTCCACAATTTTAAGGTAGTTTTTACAGATAAAAATGTGTGAACTACATGAAGATAAAGGTCCATCAACAAGCATGCATAGCAACATTTGTTGGGGTAACTGCAAAAGAACAAAGCTTGCTAAATTAGGGGACATCACAACCCTTGTGTCCTTGTCATTGAGATTGAAACTGCTTAAAGGCTTATAAAATTCATATTAAATAAATGAAAATATGTACATGTACCGGTACCTGTACTTTAACCATTTGGTTGACTTTACTTGTATGTACATGTACAGTGTTCCCAGTATACATGTACATGTATGGATAGTAAGCTTCCAACTTCAAAGCCAGACTCCTTTGCATCCATTTTGGATGTTCAGTACATACATGTATATGTACATGTAGTTAGAACAATTGCCCTGTTGGACACAGGTAGAGCAGTACGTAAGGACAGGAGGACTAGCGAAGTTCCAGCAATGCACGCAAGAAAACAAAATAGCAAAGAAAACTCATTTTGTGTGGTAGCCATCTTGCAGGGCTTTAATTTTGTTCCCTTTTTGCAAACTGTGAAGAACAAAAGCGCCTGTCCTCAAGATGTTAGCCATACACACCCTCTATACTAAACTTTGTCTCTGTCTTTGGCCTTGTCTTCAAAATTAACTCTGAATTGGAAGCCTAATTCAAATTAAATTGAAGAACTGTAATCTTTTGCTCCTTTGCATTGTATTTGATGTTCCTGTAGCATAGAGTACCGAAGTGTGACGTCACTGTGAACCAGAAAGTGCAGTGCAAATGAATGGAGTATGTGCGCGTGTTGGTTCACGCGCTGGTTCACGTGCTCATGCCTTTTACACACTAATTGTAACTTTGGTACTCTGTTATCCATACATGCATCACATGACAATGGTGGTACCAATGGTGGTAGCAGCAAGCAAACACACACTTTCCCCTCTCCAGGTTTGCTGGCCAAAAATTTGCATAAATCTACAACCAATTCTACAAGGTATTAGTCATGTGCCCACAAATAATCTGAAGGAGCAGATGCATCGTGTTTTGAGCCTGGAAGAGTTGCAGGAATCATGGAAATAACTGTTTCTTTAGCCGAAACCAGGTATGCCAAGAAATCGCAATGTGGCAACAAAGAAAGCAGCACACAAGGCCCCTGCTCTACAGCTACAGAAGTCCTAATTCTTAAATCCAGGTACTCAGTCAAGGCAATAATCGATGATATTGTTGAACTCTGTCTTTACCTCTCTTGGAAATTCCCAGTGGCCTGTGTGTTCACATTTCCTTATCTAGTAAAACGAAATCTACAGCATATGAATCATTACCACCCCATAAAAAGAACCACGTCATGACACAAAATATGTGTAAATGGGACACAGAAGCTTCAATTATTCATCATGATTCCCACACCAGGATGTTTGAAACCAGTCTACAAGATATAAAAAACAACATTGAAAATTTAAGAGATGAGATTAAAACACAAAATCAGTTAAAACACAACATTGATTGGGTAAATGAATCCAGACACTGGAAATGAATGAAACAGCTTCCAAATTGCCGTTAGTCAGCTTACGCAAAAACAATCGCTTTGCAGAGCTACATGTAGCAGATTTTGCTGAACTCAATCCAGTGGAACCAATGGCTGACAAAAGTCTAAATTCAACCACACCTAAAGCAATGTCACAAATTTGCCTCTGAAGAGTCCGAAGGTATCTGGAACTTCCTTCCAATGACAAATGAATGACAACGGAGCCAAACAGAAAATGAAATTCAAAGACAGGAGGCCTAAGAACAATCATGTTACACTGATTGGAGATTCCATGATTGAACACATCAATGGTCAAAAAGTAAGCTGATCTAAACATGTTTCAGTTAAATCACACCTGGGGGTCAGGATTGAAGGTTTTTCATCTTTCATCAAAGACGGATCCATTGAGATCCACATGCAGGAGTTGATCATACCTTGCAGGCACTGATAATATCAGAATATTATTAGCAGAATTGCAGAATAAAAGCAGAATGTTATTCAAGGAACCAGAATCTTTAGGCAAGCTAGCACAAGAAATGTTTCATCCGTGACATCACAATATCCTCATAATGCACAAAAAACAGGAGAAAACATCAGATCGGGACAAAGTAATGGCAAATGCACTCATACATGTACATGACATCTGCCACTTTCATAACTGGAAGTTTTTTAATAACAATGACATAAATCAGCAATGTCTAGCATCCGATTCGCTCTTTGCACGCTGCCACCATAGGCATGCAGAGCCTCGAATTGGCGGCTTGTAAAATCGCATCAACTCAGCTTTTGAAATATTGTCCAATTACATAGCATAAGAGCTGGAGCAACATGCAAAAATTACTAAGCAACATACTGGTATGGGAATCACTGAACTACATGTATTGTGTATAGCTGCCAGATCGAGGCTCTGCATGCCTATCGTGGCAGCGTGCAAAGAGCGAATGGAGTTCATCTCTGCTGTGCAGGTGCTATTGCTTTTGCTCGCAATATTATCAGGCATTTGCGAGGTTTACCCCCGGTTAAAGCCTCTCCGATAACATTCTCAAAGCAAGGCAATCAAATCACAAGTCCCACCCCCTACAGCAAGCAAATAAGACCAGTACGCATCTCAAGGCAAGTGAACATCCACCTTGTACCTATAGATGCTAAAGTTACTAACACCTTGTACAGGGAAAGTAATGCCTGTCAGGATTTCCATCAACAGGACTGGAAAACAGTAAAATGACCACTTATGCAGTATGCAC